ATATGCTGAAATTCCCATTTTGCAAACTGTATTTTCTCCTCCCAACAGAAAGACGTCCCTGCTTTCTACTCCCTGTGCCTTGTAAATAACACTCCAATGTACCAATAAAGATTCAGACTTGGGGGGGGGGGGTGTTTGTCCTTGAGGGGGTCTCCCGTGTAGTCAGCTGCAGGTATTTAAAGGGGAGACTGGTGGTGGGGAGTATTTTTCTAAAATACTAATTTAAAGAACAAATCAACATCTATTATCTCCTTCATTATGTTTTAAATTGTACAACTATAAATCACCCTGCGGCAGGTTATTCAAGGGCAGAATTACCCAGTTTGGCTTTCAGGAAGGTTAGAAGAATGACATCTTGTGCTTTTTCTAGCTGTAATTTATAACTTTGCAACAGAACCTGCGTTGCAGGCCCATCCATTAGCTGGGTAACTGCACATCTGTTAAAACTCAGCACAATGAGCGGCTTTACACGGCCACAGGAAACCGTAACCCAATCTTTTCAGAAGTTCTATAAACTCAAACCATTTTTTTTTAATGGAGAATGATTTGAAAATGCAGTTCCCTAAAACATCTGCTAAGCTCTCGCTACCCTAACACATGATATTCTTTCTACTGTTACCTGCCAACACAAATATTTGGTTGCACAAAACACCCCGATAGGCACGTGACCGAGCTCGGTTTCAAATTTACATACATACTGATCCACAAAGAGCTGGCGTGGACCAAAGCGCTCTGGCGGAGATATTGTTTAACAGAACTAAAGGCTCATGGGGGGGGGGGGGCTTTAATTTCATCAAGGTGCTGTCAAATACTTTGCAAAGGAAACACAACTGCACAGTTAAATAGACACGGCAGGGGGATGCGGCTGCATCAGACCATGTAAATGGACCTAGGGGTAGTGAAGGTTTCAAAGCTGGTTTACCATTTTCTTAAGCTGGGGGAGCTCTCTCTGCTGTTTCATCAGAATATAAAGATAACAGTTCCAAGACTATAGAACTGTTGTGATAAATCAATGAAAACACGTGTGCTGATATGTAAGACATCCTGGTATCTGGTCTAAACAGCCAATTTGCATCTTACCTGGAAGTATGGCAGGGTTCTAAAGTCACATCACATAGCAGCAAATGCCAACAGCAAAATCACCCTTGAAAATCTCTTACGTCACCGGATAATATAACGCCTGAACTTGTGAATTAAAGCCATTAGAGAAATGTGTACATATAAATATACATACTAATCTACAATGCATATTAATGCATGCATGTGCAAATCATAATTTTAGAGTAACTTAAGGGCATAAAAGAAAACCAGAGAGATAAAAGAATAAACATATAAATCCCCCATGATGTGACTTCCTTATTCTTGATAGAAGGCATTCAACGGACTTTAGTTTCCTTTAAGATATTTTGGAAACAGCTACTTGAAGAATCCTCCAACTTTTCTTGAACATTTAAAATCAACTCCATTTCCATTTTTACCTACCGTTTTTTATTTTATCATAGAGTGGAGAGAGAGGGGAAACACTTTCCCAGCCTTCTGGATCTTTCAAGAGGGAGAGGGTGGCAGAGACACAGCTTTCCCAGTAGGGGTCACTGTGCCGAGAAGTGATCCTATGAGTTTCTCATTAGTGATTATAATACTGCAGGCGGCCAAAATGGAAAAATTAATTAATTTCAAAGTGATAATGCATTTACAGCAACAATTAGAAATGTATAACTGTAAAAGGGCAACATTTAAAAGACAGATTGCATTTAATAAAGTTGCACAAGAACATCCAATTGTAAAATTACTGATCTGCAACAATATTCCTTAAAGAGGCACTTAAAATAGCCTGACTCCATGAAGGGTGACCTAATTACTGTAACTAAAATCACCGTAGTCACAGCAAGTCACAGCAAATAAAAAAAGGACGTTGATATTGGAATACTGCTGTTTAATACTTAAGGGAGCCGGCGACAGCGGAGGAAAGGCAGGCAGGGCTTCCGAGTGCAAGGCTGGTGTGAATTTCTCGTTTCCTTGACCGCAAGCAACTGAATGTGAACTGTAGCAACCTGCATGTCAAAAGGAGAACGCTTTCCCCAAGGTGAGACGCAGAAGGGGCCAGGGAGCACAGGCAGAGGGCTAGCCGGCGGGTGATGGGAGACGGCGCCTATGCAAACCTTCTCTGTCAGCACTTAGAAATCCTCTACTCAGAGAGGGGATGAGGATACGGCCTCGTGGTTTAACTGTCCAGAAAGACATTTGCATTAAATTGTCAGAAGTGCATCTTCTGTCCATGTGCATCTTTATCGTGATGGAAACAACGCCAAGGTTTATACGAAAGATATAGCACGTCACTTTTCCAATCAGCTCCATCTAGCCTATTGGTGAAATTGATCAGTCCCAAGTTTACAGGAGTGCTGACTCCTCTCCTAAATACAAGAGTCCTACGTGTTTAATAAAAGAGAAGGGACTGGCTGTGAGTCTAACAAGTTCCACCTCTTCCGAAAAAGAGTTACAAGGAACCCCTATGGCTAAAAACATACCACCAAACGCCTAAAATGTACAAGGATGTTATTAGAGAGGATTTTATTAAGAATGTAAACTAAGCTGCCTGTCCCACAGTCTCCCTTATCTTTAAGTTTATCTTAAATAGTCCATTTGTGGCATATAAAAGGTGTTATTTTCCAATCATGTAGGGACATTAACAGGAAAAGTCTACACCACTACGGTTTCTTGGGAACAAGATGTGCAGGTTGGAGGTCACCTAACCAGGCTCTCTCCCCGCAGACACCCTTTCCTACCTTGCCAGTAATCCTCTCCATGAGCCTCCAGGGAAAGGGACCAAGCCCTCCCCCCATGCACCATCACCCACTCCCAACGAACAGGCTCCTTCAGCCCACGAACCTTGTTGCACTCGTCAGCAACAATTGCACGTTGGGGAATAATCTTCAAGACGAAGGTATTGCTCACAACAACAAGAATAACAGCGATGGCGGCAAGAAGTGCCACAGACATGTTGTGTGTGACAGGCATTGTGCCAGGGATATTGTCTGACCAAGCTCTTCAATGTGGCAGCCACCAGGCACAGGTGGCCATTCCAATTTGAATTAAGATGAAAGCAAACCAAAAATTCACTTCCCCAGTTGTGTTAGCCACAGTTTGAGAACTCAATAGCCACTTGTGGTCAGCAGCTACCACACTGGATAGACAGACTCTAATCAATGCAGAAACTCTATCCCCATCATCCTGGGTATTATATCTGCCATTGCCTGTGCTCTAACCAACTGTGCGACCATTTTAGTGGTGAGGGGACAGGCTCGGAAAGCTCAAGTAACTTGCCTAGGTTGTCTCAGTTCTGAAGGGAAAGAGCTGGACATGACCATTAGGACCTTCAGCAGGAGAGCTGCTTGGTCCACTGCCCTGGGTGACCACATCCTCTCCTTGCCACCCCTGGGAAGCCTTGTCAAATGCTTGTGCAAGCACAAGGGAGTTGCTGACCTCCCCAGCCCTTAGTATGAGCACTCCTCCACTCCCTGGGCAACTTCAACAAAACTTGGGGGTTTTGTGGCATTGCCAAATTTCTCCCAACCCTCTCAGGGGCTCACTGCTCATTTTCCCACGTGCTTCTCACCAGGGCCCTTAAAGATCAGCCTTTAGTTTACCCAAGGCTGGTCCCAGAAGGCAGTTTTCTTCCTCCCAGTCCTAGCCCTGCTTCAGTCATTGCAGCCTGTTCACAAGTAGTCTCTGAGCTCTCTGTACGGGGCACAGGGGAGATAAGGTGGGCATCTCTGAACACGGTGTGGGCAGGAGGAGGAGTCAGCACCTCTGCTGTTGCTGGGAGGAGCTTCCCCTAACTCGCTGCACTTCCCCATCCACACAGCTTCTGCCTCAGTTTCCACATACAGACTCTGTTTTTCCACTTGGCTTGAGCACCATCCACACTCCCCACCCCACCCCACCGCCACAGCAACAGTCTGACACCATGACACGGTTGTCTGCCCTACATCATTTTCTGGCCCTTTTAAGAAATTCTCCTGTTAGGTCCAACACACCCATGATCAAGCCCGACTTTGCCAAGCAGACTTTATATTACATATTAGAATATAATTAACTCTTCCCCAAATACACAAAAGTATTTACTCACCTTTATTTCACCAGCATCTGTCTCCCTTCTTCTCCGACCTTCCCTTGTCCAGAGTCCCTAAGCCCTGGGCTCAGGTCACAGAATATAATAGTTTTGATCATATTCCATCAACAAGCCCTCATCTATTGGATGGTCAGACGGTGCCATCCCCCCTGCACCAGATTCTGCACAGACACAAATCTACCTTCAAGTCTTTCCCACCATCAAATGCTTTCAGTAGGAAGAAGTTTAGTGAGGCAGTTGACAAATGACCATCAAAAATGCAAAAACTTCATACCCACCCTTGTGAACATATTTCTAAAACCAACTGCAGGATTCTGCTTCATCCACAAGGATTTGTCTTAGGGGAAGTAAAGAGTTAAGCACAATTCTAGCCATTGAAGGATTTTCCAGGGGCAGTTTACACCCATTAAAATAAGACACTGGAACATCCTGACACAGATTCTCAAGGAAACCAAGGACTCACATCTGCTGCTAATTCAGTAGTCACCATCTAAGTTTTTTACCTAGTGCCACAAAATAGCTCTCAACTGCTGTACTCAACAAAACAGATTTACAAAGTCTCTGAATCAAAAACCCACATCGAAAGAAAACAAATCATCATCAAATCATCATTTCACGTGGAGCATTTCAGCCATCCTTAGCACAGTATTAAAAAACCACATCTTCTATCCAGCCCAGAGAGACACCTTTAGGGAAACGAATTTAACCAAACGTGGATGGCAGTGGCTGCGAGAGCCCTCTCCCCAGCTTTAACAGGGCAGACAATGTTATCAGTAGGACGAGATCCAACCTTGCAAGAGGCTGGAAGGTGGAGACAGGACCTCCCTGAGAGATGCCGCGTGTGCTGGCGGTGGTCGGCGCAGTCACTTACCATGGACTTGGTGAAAGGCCTGGCCAAGGTAAACAGCAGCGTGTACACCCACCAGTTGCGATGAATGGAGGAGTACATCATATTCCCGGGGTGCACGGCGTTGGATGTGACCCCGCGCGGGGACAGGCGGCGGTGCAACTCGTTGGAGAAGAGGATGTTGCAGAGTTTGGACCGGTTGTAAGCCAGCATGGCCCAGTAGTCGTTTCGGGACGGAGAAAGGCGGCTGAAGTCCAGTTTCCCCGAGGAGTCATTAATATCCGTAAATCTAAAAAACAGAAAGCACGATGGGAAGCCACTGAGCTCTGACTTCCCAGGTAGCTTTTTATTTCATTAGAAATCCACAGACACCGTGCAGAGACCACTGAAAGCTCAACCACGCCCACATCGAGACAAAGTCTCCCATAAAAAACCAACGAAGGTGACGGAAACAATATAAAGAAATTAGATCTAAAGATAAGACTTTGTTTATGTATCTTTTTTTTTTTTTTGAGGCAGTCTCACTCTGTGGCCCTCAATAAAGTGCCATGGCATCACAGCTCACAGCAACCTCAAACTCTTGGGCTTGAGCAATCCTCAGCCTCCCGAGTAGCTGGGACTACAGGCGCCCACCACAACACCTGGCTAGTTTTTCTGTTTTTAGTAGAGATGGGCATCTAGCTCTTGCTCAGGCTGGTCTGGAATGCTGAGTTCAAGTACTCCCAGAGTGCTAGGATTATAGGCATGAGCCACTGCACCCAGCTTAAAATCAGGAAAAGGCCCACACTCTTAAGTGTGGCTGCCCTAGCATGCTAAATTTCCGCCATCCCTAACATACATTTTGTCAAAACCTTCAACAGGAAGTTCCAAGATAATTCAATTAAATGGGAAATCATCTTAAATAAAGGGCTGCCGCTTCTGGAAACAGAAAGATATCACATCCCTAACCTCTGATGGGGCTTTCCTGGGTTATTTTAGCCAGTGCTGGAATCCCGTACATTTTCCTTTCAGCATCCAAGTAAATCGAGACGAGTCTTGCTGCCTCCAAGACTCTCTTGCAGATTAAAAATTAATGATTATAAAGGGGTTGTAACCTTGGTGAGGTGCCATCAATAGTCTTCTACGTTTAGAAGATAAATGTAAACAAAGCCAAAATGAGTTCTGGCACCGTCTAATGTTTTTAAGTATACCCCTGGCATGGGTGCCCACAAATCAAAGTAACTAGTTGATGTTTTATAATTGGGTCTGACGGAGTCGTTAAACACCAGCTGTTTGTTTCTCTCTCTCTTCTCCTCTCTCTCTCTCTTAAATAACAACAAAGTAGTGACTGCCCTTAAAAAAAAAAAAAAAAAAGGATCATAACAAACAAAAGGAATTTTCTAGACGGTCTCATCTTCCATAAAGGACTCTTTACATCTTGCCTTATTGAAGGAGTTCTGGGCACCGGGCAATAAGAAAGCGTAATGAGAATATTCTAGAAAACTGCTATGGAAAGCAAAAAGGAAAATGAAAATTATGGAATAATCCCATTGTTCCTTCCTACGAGAAGTATAGGTTGGGCTAACACCAAGAAAAGTATCACAAGGGCAGATGAAATTCACATTTTAATGGAAATTAAATATCCCTTCTCCAGGACTTAGTCGGTGACATCCACTTTCTAGTGTTAAATGACATTGCTGCTCTAAGGTCATCAACAAAGCCGATGGCCAGAACCCTCATCAAGGGCACAGCAATGAGACTTACAGACTAATTGTTAGCTGCCTGTTTTCAAGCCCCCAAACCTCAGGAAGAGCCTGACTTCCAAGCTGATAGTCAAAGACAGTGAACAGTGAAACTTAGCAGGACATTATAAAATTCAGGAGGACCTCTATCTGGCTGTTATCATGATTGCTGGTGGGGACCAAGGATGGTGAATGTCCCACAATGCCAGCAGAGCCAACAAGACTGCCCTAGAGGACACTCACAGAGATGAAAAGCCTGCGTATAATTGTCTGAGCCTACAGTCTAACTCTGTGTATATGTGTGAATAAATGAGTGTGTATGTGTGAATCCATGCATTTTTTTTTAAGAGTCTCACTATGTCACCTTGGTAGAGTACCGTGGCGTCATAGCTCACAGCAAACTCAAACTCTTGGGCTTAAGTGATTTTCTCACCTCAGCCTCCCAAGCAGCTGGGACTACAGGCA